GTCATTGGGATTTTGATAGTGATTGCATTGAATTTGTAGATCACTTTGACTCATATCTATTTTTGCAAAGGGATAAAATATTGAAAATGTTTTTTGAGAAACACATGATATCAGTGAGAATAGCTACTATTTTGGAGGCTTATATCACATGATAAGCACACACTTGCCATTTTGTCTAGATTGCCTTACTTTTCATAAAGACCCTAAGGAGTATTTTTTCCATTCTATAGATAATAAAACAGAACTATAGGAATTGATGTGGTAACAGGGGTAGGATGCACCTCTTGCTAAGTATAACCCAAAGCCTGTGCTTTCTGTGTATTATATAAAGTATAAAATTAAGCTTAGGATTCACTTTTGTGTTCCTTATACCTAACACAATATTTCAGTTTGTTGGTGCTTCATAAATATTTGTTGAATAAGTGCTCAGTGATTGAAAAGTGTACAATTAATTAATTCATTCCTTCTTTATTCAATAAATATTTATCTGGCACTGGTTGTGTGCTGGGTGCTAGGTGCTTTGGCTTAGAAACTAGGGGTACAAAATGAAACAGATGCCTTCACTGCCTGTAAGGAGCTCATGGTCTGAGGCAAAGGGCAAGGGGTTTTTGTTATTGAGAGCTTATCAGTTCTGATGATACCAATTCAGATACAACTCTTTAATGAAAATTATAATTTTCAGTAGGCTGGTGATGATTATTATTTTATTATGTCTTCCCTTTTCATCCCTGATCTTAGAGTTAACATGACACTTCCCAGACTTAACGTGCACATGACCCACCTGGGGATCTTGGTAAAATTCAGTCCCTGATTCACCTGGTCTAGAGTAGGGACCAGAAGACTGCAATTCCCAGGTGATGCTCAGGAGCTTTGGGGCTCAAATAAATCTTTAAGAATTAAAATGATAAAATGTCACCTTCTCTATTGTGCAAATTCCACCATTCTCTCTTCTTTTGCTGCAGAAGATGGAAATACAATACTTGTGATAGAACCCCTAACTGAAATATTATGACTTCATTGTATTCTTAGGCTGAGCTAAGAAACAAACAACATTAGAAATTTAAGGGCCACTTCTCTGTTCAGTTTGGCTAGGCTATAAGTTTGGCATGTCACTGTTACAGTCTTTCTCCAACGTGTGGCATATCAAAGCTTTGTTTTTCCTCACATCCCTGTTTGCCTTCTTCACACCTGCCTTTACCGTCTTCAGAAGAGGTCAGTGGCTCTGACAGATGTGGATTAGAATAACTCAATTAGGATCAATAGGCCTGCGTCATGTTCAACATCTGGCTGATACCCATTTTCAGAATAAATATATCATTTATTTTTGGTAAAAATGCTTTTCAGATGAAAATGAAAATTACAATGGGAAATTGTGGCTGGCAAGGGAAAAGAACCATTTTGGGTAATATCTCTCATAATTGGAGTAATTTTGACAAACTCAGACATTGTAGAATTCCCACACATCCTCTCCCCCAACCAACTCCCTACTCCCAACGGGTCAGAGGGGGGTGCTTTCTAGCAGGCAAAAGTGTATGCTATTCTTCCTTCTCTGGTCCACAGAAATGATGTTAAGATTCATGGCAGTCAACCTTACTGTTCCAAACAAACATGTTTTATTCTAATGACCAATTAGAAGGTTTATGGTTTAAGCCAGGAACAGGGTAGAGCTGAGGCCAGGAAGTTGGGCATCGTATTCAATCATAACTTTGTTTTTGATTTCTACATTGACATAAAATGTGTACTATATTCTTTGGGAACAATTTGATCAATAACTTAGGCTAAAAATAGAGCAGATTTCTTTTAGTCACCTGTTCATATTAGGAGCAGTTACAAAAATGGTTTTTCCTTTTAAAATATTGGGTTACCCTGTGATCTCTGACATTATGGATGCTTGGTGCTCTTATAGCAGGGGAGGGCTTTTTGTGATGTGGGTGTGCATTTGTGTACATGTGTACATGTGTGAAGATGTGGACCTGCCAACCGCCCCCCCCCCAACCCATGCTAGTCTGATGGGTTCATATTACTAAAGCAGCCCCTTCAGTGGTCTTGGGTCTCAAGGGTGCTGGTATGGAGACTTATCTTATGGAGCCAAGTATCCCTGGTAGAGTTGTTTGTTCCTACAAGAGGAGGGGTGATGTGAGCAAGTGCTTTAGAACCAGACAGACCTTAGTTTGGATCCCAACTCTGCTGCTGCTGTGTTATGTGGACAGCACTAGGGTGAGGCAAGGGGGACTTGTAGGATGTACATTTTAAGGTGGTCACACTCAGGTGACAACCTTGCACTCGCACAACCCTGAGTGTGCATATCTCCTTTAATTTTGCACTCAGGTGCCTTGCTTTCCTACCCTAGTCTGGCCCTGGTGTGTGACCTTGGACGAGTCTCTGTTTCTATTTCCTCATAAGTAAAATGGGTACAATAAGAATCATCTCATGGGATTGCCATGAAGCTTGAATAAAAAAAATCTATAAATTTATTGACAAATTGTCTGGATCTATGACCAAAAAATGGTAGCTATGATTGAGTTTTTTTTGGAGACAGAGTCTCACTCTGTCACCCAGGCTGGAATGCAGTGGCGCGATCTAGGCTTACTGCAGCCTCCACCTCTGGGTTCAAGCAATTTTCGTGCCTCAGCTTCCCAAGTAGCTGGGACTACAGATGTGTGCCACCATGCCTGGCTAATTTTTGTATTTTTAGTAGAGATGGGATTTCATCATGTTGGCCAGGCTGGTCTTGAACTCCTGACCACAGGTGATCTGCCCACCTCGTCCTCCCAAAGTGCTGGGATTACAAGCCACTACTCCCAACCCAATTGATTTTAATTAATCTTTTGCTGGGCATCTTGACTAATCCCCTTTAGGATACCTAAAGTTAATTCCCTTTATCCTAAGGAGGAAAAACAGAATTGAGGAATATTTAGAAGTGCCTCGTTTAGGATATTTTTTTTCTTTTGAGTTATTATTTTTTTATTTTAGGAAATAATTTATCTAAAAGCTAGTGGTACACATTTCAACTACTCACAGTTCAAGCATAAAGTGTTGCACCAGTAACACCAGGAATGAAATGTGTGTGTATATAGTTACAGGCAAGGCAGGTCTGGAGGCTCCCCTGAGAGCGAGCACTTCATTTTCAGGAGGTCAGGAGACCGAAAGTCTCACCCGGAGAGTGAAGCACCCCGTGACTTAGGCTGGATGCATAAAGTGCCTGCTCTCCCCTTGGTCCAGGATGGAGCCAGAATGCACTGCCAGCTCCGACTGATGGTGCCTCATCACTGTGATCACTCACTTAGCACACACTCACAGCAGCTTAAATTTCTGCTTGAACAGCCATGCACTTTTTTTCTTCCTGCCTAGTTTTTCTTTTGTTTTGCTTTTGGTGGGAAGCTGACCAAGGCATTCATGGTGGGGATGAAGAGGGAAATCTGTTAGAATACTGGTATGGTAAGATGAGAAGCTCTGAGGGGCTTAGGTCTCCCAATTGATATTCTTGCCATGTTGCTCTGAAGAAAATAAAGCCTCATGATTTTTTAAACTCCCATTTTTTTTCCACAAAGTTAACTAGATAAAGACCAGTTAGTACTGATTCCACTAGATACCCTTTTCCCTCTTTTACGTTTTGCTTCAAACTTGGTTGCTAAGGGACAATGACAATGATTGAGTTATAGTCTTTACTTCTATTCCATCTGAATGTTTTGTGGCCATCATTGTAGGGGTTCTCTATTTCAGTTTCTTGATCTTTAAAATAGATAACTTAAATTCTGGATTATACTTTTGTAGGATGAACAAATTCTGAAGCCACTCTGTGTGTGTGTGTGTGTGTGTGTATGTGCACGTGTTCATGTGTGTGTGTGTGTGTGTGTCTGTAGGGAATGTCTCCTAGAGTTGTAGGCTATCATAAGCCTATATTTATTGATTGATTTACAAGCTATACATTCAATTCTAGGCTAATTATCATTTAATATGAGTCAAGACATTTTCGCTCCTCTCTAGTCCTGTTTCTATGACAGACATTGCTAATCAATGGCTGCATTTTTTGTTAAACCTGGATTCTTGCATTCTGGAGCTCTATACAGCACCTACCAATTGATCAGACTTGTTTTACAGAATGGAACTTCTTTGCTACTCTGAGCCTAGCAGGTATGAAAATGGGAAGGAGAAAACTTTCTTGGCCTGGAGAAACCTAGCAGCTAGTTTGATAGGTGAGACCTATGTAATACCATTTAAGTGGAAGTCAAAGAAATGCATAACAAACATACAAAGACATGGGAGATCATGGGGGCAGAAACTAAGATCCCAATAGAAATTCAGAGAAAGCCCATCTGACCTGGAGGATGTCACTTAGGTGGCTAGCTTCACTGGAATCATTCAGGTGGTGTTGGGGGGCAAGTGAAGGAGAGGCAGAGATGAACTCCCAGACAGGGAGAGCTGTGGCAGGAAAGAGCCCATAGTGGGGATCAGTGTGAGGTTGACAATGGTCATTAATTGTTGTTAAGGTAAAAATACATGTTACTCAATTAAAAAATATGTAAGTTAGATTAATCTATTCTGATTAAATGTGACTAAAAAGACTATGCTAGATCTATCTACTTTAAATGCTTATTTAATTGTAACCTACAAGTAAATTTATTCTCAACACTATTAAGAGCCTTTAGTCAATTATACAGATGACTATATATATCCATTATATAAAGTAACTTATAATTATCAGATACTGTCCTGGGCAATTTGCATATGCCATTTAATTGATTGATTTATTCATCAGCTATTTGACTACCTAATATATGCCCTGTGCCAGAGGCAGGGTCCAAGTAGGAAAGAAATAGACCTTCTCTAAGACTGTCTCAGACTAGAAGGCAGAAAGTCTCATAAGCAAACTATCTGTAACACCTATATTACACTTGTACGTAAGTAGAATGTCAGAAATACGAAGGGTGCACTAGGGAAAAAATCTTTCATGTCCCTGCCAGTTTTATGGAGTAAATGTTGCTATCTCCATCTTACAGATGAGGACTAGGCTCGGAGAGTTGGGAACTAGTCAAGAACTCAAGTTAATCAGTCACGGCTGGGAACGAACCCTTCACCTAATGCTTTTTCCTAAAAGTGGATCGCTTGGATTCAGGCCTAGCTTTGTTACGAGCAAGAGCGGGAGCATATCGTTTCACCTCTCTGGGCCTCAGTTTCCCCTTTTGTTAAGGTAAGAAGCTGAGATGTGATACTATCTAAAGTTCCTTTCCTCTATAATATGGGATAACTCACCTGTAGTCCAGATTTGATCTCAGTTTAGCACCACTTTTGGAAACTTATGGGTTGCTCCTCATACTGTACAGACAATTTCTCTCTGCTCAAACACCTGATAGATATTTCTCAGAACAGGAGATAGTTGCCTTTGGTGAAGGCTCCAATCCAGGACCATTCATTTTTTACCCTGGCTTTATTGATGTGTAAATTGGAATTAAAAAGGCCTGCTTGTAGGGCTGGGAAATAAAAGAGAAGTAGTTTAAACTGTTTATGAGCTATAGCTTTATGATGTCTTTTCCACATTCTCTCCTTTTTTGGCTGGAGATTTTCCCTAATTGGGGACATTTGTTTTAGAATTTGGCATCTCTGAGCCTTGAGAAATGGAGCTTCTTTATTAAAGAGCGGTGTATGCCACAGGCATCTCAGGCCAAATGGTTTAGACTTCTCTCTCAGGATTCAGGTTGTAATTAAGGGTGTAGATTAATTGTAACAAGGTGTCAGAAAATGGTTCGTAAATAAATATGACAAACTGAACTCAACACATTGAATTTATAAAAAGTTTAAGTCAGATCCCTGAACGAACATGGATCCTTCTGTGTTCCAGCTGAAAGCTAAACTTGTGCAAAACTTTGCATGAAGGCAGTCCCAACTGGCAGGAACTTGAAACATAACCCAATATGCTGCCCTAATGGAGAAATAGAACAGACTGCTTATGGGGGTCATTTGTAAAAAGAATATATAATCATTTTCTAATCTCTCTGATACATATTTCTACAAATAACACTGGGGACAAGTGAAAACTTTTATGGTTCATAAGAATCAACTCCATGAAACATGAGTTTCAGACTGGGCTGGCCTACGCATGTCTGAATCCCTGCAGAATCTTTGAAAATAAGCACAGGCTTCCCCAGAGATATCAGAGGTCTCTTATCTGTCCTGTGTTTTATGCGCCTTCTTTTCTCCATCCCTCACAGCAGACAAAGACAACCAAAGAAAATCGAGCCAATTCAACATTTGCTACATTTATTCTTTCTCTCTAATTCAAATATAGTATTCAAACAGAATGTTCCCTCTCTCTTTCTTTTTTGGCTTGGCCAGCATGAAAATGCTAACTCATTTTAAAGGGAAAGTAGGCAGTCATAAATGGCAGTGTGGTGTTGTGGAAAGAATAAGAATGGCTTTGGATTTGTGCCTGGCCTAAAACGTTGGCTGCTCTTTCTACCAGTTGAGGGAAGCTTTGGCATGCTACTGAACATCTCTATGCCTCCATTTCCATCTCTGCAAAATGGGAAGGATAAAAACTAGCTGGCAGGTTTGTTGTAAGAATTAAATGATATCATAAGTTTTATATTAATGAAAAATGTCTCCCCCAATCCTGAAGGTTTGGATGGTTACATACAGTAAAACCACGGTGGCAAGAGAAGCAAGAGACAGAAATGCAAGGAAATGGGAAGGGATTGTATCCCTTCTGGACTGAAATATTCAATTGCTAGGTGAGACTCTCCTGAGCTCCCTTCCTTGCAACTGGCTATGTTTGAGGTTGTGGCTGCCTCATTAACCTGGTCCCCAGGGTGAACTCTGATTAGCAGAGCCCCTTGCTGACCTTGATGGACATGTAGTGTGATAAAAAAATAGATCTCTGCTGCTTTTTTTTTTTTGAGATGGAGTCTTGCTCTATAGCTCAGGCTGGAGTACAGTGGCACAATCTTGGCTCACTGCAACCTCCGCCTTCCAGGTTTGAGTGATTCTCCTGCCTCAGCCTCCCCAGTAGCTGGGACTACAGGCACACGCCATCATGCCCAGCTAACTTTTATGTTTTTAGTAGAGGCAGGATTTCACCATGTTGGCCAGGCTGGTCTTGAACTCCTGACCTTGTGATCCACCCGCCATGGCCTCCCAAAGTGCTGGGATTATAGGTGTGAGCCACTGTGCCCGGCCAAATGTCTGCTGCTTTAAACCACTAATATTTGGATGTTGCTTGTTATCACAGAAGAACCTAGCCTATCCTCACTGATATAGTTAATCTTCAGATTGCTGAATTTCTCTTTTTTGAAATTCATAGTATCTTTATGGTAGGCCATGTTCATCATCTTTCAAGTTTCTGCTCATAAATTCTGCATGAACTATTTGGAATGATAGAGTGATTTGGCAGTGACATGTCCAAGAGAACTCTTCTCAACTGCAAAAACTTTTTAATTATTTGAAGTAAGCAACACTGAGTTTTTTGGCCAGTATGTGCTCCTGGAAGGCCAGTCAAGGTTCTCTGAAAAGACATTTTATTCTGACTTTATGTGTTAAGGTCTCTTTGCTTTGTATATCTGGTCTTAATTCTCCTTTGAAATGTAGATTTGGTATTTATCCAATTAATGACTTTGTTTGAATTTTTATAGGCATCTCAAACTTACCTTGGCTAACGCGCTGCTGATTGTTTCTGAAGTTGTACACCACCTACTCTGCACTTGCTCTCTGCTAAAGTTCAAATGAAATTTCAATTCCTTACTTGGCCTACAAGACCATGACTGTCTCTGATTCCTCCATCCTCAATCTCCTCCTTGTACACTAGGATTTAGTCATACTGACTTTGCTTCTGATTCTTTTTTTTTTTTTTGAAACCTGTGTTTTATTTTATTTTTATTATTTTTTTTTCAATTTTACTTTAAGTTCTGGGATACATGTACTGAATGTGCAGGTTTTTATATAGGTATACATGTGCCATGGTGGTTTGCTGCACCCATCAACCCATCATCTAAGATTTAAGACCTGCATGTATTAGGTATTTGTCCTAATGCTCTCCCTCCCTTTGCCCCCAACTCCATAACAGGTCCCAGTGTATGATGTTCCCCTCCCTGTGTCCATGTGTTCTCATTGTTCAACTCCCATTTATGAGTGAGAACATGCAGTGTTTGGTTTTCTGTTTCTGTGTTAGTTTACTGAGAAGGATGGGTTCTAGCTTATTCATGTCCCTGCAAAGGGCATGAACTCATTCTTTTTTATGGCTGCATAGTATTCCATAGTGTATATGATTCTTAAACACAGACATGTCATTGCAATCTCTGGTTGTCTGCACATTCTGGTTCCTCTGCTTGGCTCCCCAGATCTCCCCATGGAAATCTTCTTTTCATCACTAAGCTACCCCTTAGGGAGCCTCCTTGACTGCTTAAGCTGAGGCATTGCTTTCCCTATTCCTACAGATAAATTCTCTACCACATTATACCACATCTTCTTCACAGCACCAGCATTTTTCAGTACTGGAATATCCTACATATTTGTGTAAGTTTTCACAGTCTGCCTCCTCATCTTTCCTTAGAATGTAAGTTCACTGAGGGCAGGGACCCTGTTGTTTTCACTTCCGTATCTAGAAGTGAAAGGTCTAGAAGAGCACTTTCCTAAAACATAGAAGATGTTAATAAATACTGGTGACATAGGCTTGGTTAGGCACAGGAGTGTAGTTATGCATGTCTCATGAATATTAATGCTTCTTTCCCCCATTACAGTTTTGAGGGCAAGGAATATCTATTGTCTGAAATATAGCAAGTGTTTAGTGAATTCAATTAACGACATTCATTAAAGGAATGCCTATTAGGAGGTATTGGGAGCTAAGGCATTGGGCACAGAATTAGTCTTATCTCTGCTTGACCCCCAAAACTCTCAGGATCCAATAATATCTACTCATAGTTTTCAATTATTGTATACATTTTATGTATCAGGCACTGCAAAATGCAGTATACACTGCATTGTCCCATTTTACCCTCACGCCTACCCTATGATGCTCTATGGGATGTGTTTCCAAATATATCCTGGCCTTTTCTCCATTGAACATGGAATCATGGCACTTCCTGATCCCCTTATTGGTGGGTGGGGCTTTGTGACTAGTTCTGGCCATGAACTATGAGCCAAAGTGGCAGTGGGGCACTTGATTGCCACCTAGAGGCCTTCTAGAACTCATGTTCCCTTTGTCACAGCCACCAGACATTTATGAGCCCTACCAGCCTGAGCTCCTGTTGATACGAGGAACAGAGCTCCCTAGTGGACCCATGGTGGACATCAGTATGATTAAGAAACACTTCCATTGATATTTCAGGACATGGAGAGTTGGGGATGATTTGTTATTGCAGCATAACATGGTACACCCTGACTGATTTTATACATGAGATACTTTATGCTTAGAGACGTGACTTGCCCAGAGTCACTCTACTAGCATGTGGGCCACCAGGACAAGAATATTTTTTATTGTTTACATGGTCACTGTATTTTTGACAAGTACATAATGTAGCTGGTACAAATTTTACTAATTGGTTTTGTAAGGAATGTTATATTTTTAACTTCACTAAATCAATCTTAACCTGACTTCAACCTCCCATCTCACATACTCGAGGGAAATTCAGGTTCACTGAGGAAATTCAATGTTACTCTGATTATTGGGCCTCTGCTTTCCGTTCCCTGGAATTTCATCTCTGGAAGGCATAGTTTTGAGAGACCTACTTGATGTCATGATTATCCCCAATGGGCTGCATGGTCCCTGAACGCCTGGAGACATTACTGGTTCAGTGCCACACTTAGGCATAGGAATGAGCTCAGTCCTGAATACCCCTGGGTCCAGAGACTACATCTCTCAAAGGTCCCGAAACCTCCCTTAGGACTGCAAAGGAGGGGGCTTTACATTCCCATTACTCTTCAGATCTCAGTGTTCTTCCCTCCTCCTTCCCTCTCTTCCTTCCTCTGTTCCTTCCCCCAATCTTTGTTGAGTACCTACTGTAAGCCAGGCACCACCCTTCAGGTTGAGGATAGAGAAGGAGGAAAAATAGAAATTCCCACCCTGGTGATGCTCAGTGGCAAGAAGTCAGAGAGACAGATAATAAATAAAACAAATAAGTGAATTGTATCAAATTTTGAAAGAGTTTGATGATACAGAGAAGCAAAGTAGGGAAGAGGGATGAGGGTGTTAGGAGGCAGTCAGGGTGGGCCTCACATTTTGCCCAAATGCAGAGAGCAGGTGATAAAGCCCACTGGGGGCTGTCTGGAAGCAGAGACTTTTAGGCAGAGGGAAAGGGACCTGCAGAAGCCAAGGGACTGAAATAGCCGGCAGGTGTGCCTGGGAAGAGCGAGGGGCCTGGCTGGGAGCGAGATGAAGGCCCCAGGGCAGATCAAACCCCACCTTTTATATGGAGGGAAGTGGAAGCCACAAAAGGATTCTGCACTGAGGTGTGATGTGATTTGATTTCCATTTTAAAAGGTGGGTCGGGGTATACAGGGCAAGAGCAGAAATAGGGAGACCACTTAGGTGGCTTTTCCAATAATTTCTTTCTAGTACTGGCCCACTTCCTCCTCTGTCC